ACGGCTATTCCAAGGTAAGAAATACAAGTTTACGTTTTTTGTGGCCGAGAACTGGGCCCCATACTGTACACATCACAAAGCTTCTTACCGACAATATTAAGCTTCAAAGGCAGCTGTAAAATGTGTTTCGGAACCTGCAGAAAGATCCGGGAAAACACCCTCACGATAAAAGTCACAATCGATAGGTTTCGAGCTTTCACCTGGCAAACACCGTCCCGTCCCCTAGTAAAATAATCTCAGAGGACACGTTCACAACTCATTTTCATTATTGAAGAAACAACAACACATACAATTGGTCAAAAGGTGTTAGACATGTCTGCCACGCAGGACGAAAGTGCAACGCTAAGAAACGGGACCCTGCTCTGATCCTGTCAGAAATGCCTCACCTGTCTCAGTTGTTTGAGAGGTGCTGGTACCGGATTCCATAACTGAGCACATACTCCGCAAAGGGACTCAGGTCTTGGCCGCGGATGATACCCCCAATCCAAGAGCACCAAAAAGAAATTTCTTTTCGTCTTCAGCGCTTTCGCCACAACAAATGGCAGTTGACTGTGTCGTGTCGCCCTTCGGCAAAAACCGTTCATGATCGGTAATTGTTCGGTAATGAAGGCCGTTGATTGGTGTTATATCACGTGCTTATTTTGTCCAATGAACAGCGGAGACCAGGTCGTGGCGGAAAAATCAAATACCTCAGAAAATCCGTTGGTATTTCATTTTATCGTTAACATTTCGCGCGTTCGATCTAATGACATTCCTCCGCTGTTTTAGTTCGGTATTGAAAAATTCAACACTTTGCGCGTGGTATTCGCAATCATGAATGATCTTATTGGTAAGATCGTGGTTATCAAAAGGAATGGGGGCGATGGCCCGCAATTTCCTTTGAGAACAAACGAATGCTTATTTGGAAGGTAAGAAACCTCAGTATATAAGAAAAAGCCTGCATATTAAGCTTAAGCTTAACCATTCCTTGTAAAGTTTATACCCGTAGTCGTTGCATGTAAAAGGGAAAACGCATTGTTTTAAAACTTTAACCTCACAAGTTGTTGAATCATTTCCCTTGCCACAGAAAACCCGAGTGTGACATAAGAATACAACTTCCCAACGTTTCATTGGAACACGCCGTCGTAAAAGTTGATAACGACAAAAAGGTGAGCTTTTAAATATAAAGGCTTATATAATGGGAAGGGCTTTCTGTAGCTCAAATCGATTGAATATTGTTTCTGCTTATTTTCCATACAAACAATTTTGACGGCGAGCAATGCTTTACAGGTCCCCCTCATAATTATTAGAGACTTTCGTAGGTTTTTGCAATCAAAATGGCTGAAACGTTCCACTTTATATATCGATGAAGACTGATTAGTACTTTCAATAATCAGGATCGATCGGGATGAAATCGGGCGCTTGTCAAGTAAATGCAACACATAAAGTAAAGCTTAAGGTTACACAATACCTTCGCAGGTGCCCCTCAGAAAAAAAATTGTACCAGCGTTGTTTTTCAGGAAACTACCACAAACTATATATCAGTAGAAAGGTTATAAACTGTAGAATTCGGAAAAAATATCTACTACTTTGGTCGTGCCTTTAATTTGTTGAGAAGAAAGAAGCTGGAAAACGGAAAACGACGGACTGTTATTCGGCCGAATTGATCGGGTATCAAACGCAAGCAGTCAGCAGTTAACTGCACAGTGTTAATCAGGAAGCATCAATCTCTCAAAGGGTGTCAGGGTTTTCCTGTATTCTTATTGGTTATCTTTTTATAGACCCGTAAAGTTATACATCAAATAATTTGTCAACCCTGTTGCATGACACAATGCAGGAGTCAATGTAATTGAAACAACCTGTTCCCAGACTCCTGTTCCCTGTTTCCTGTTACAAGTTTTAGTAACATCCCGTTACAAGTTTACCTTATTTGCTGGGTGAAGGTTTCTTAGCAACAAAAAAAGGATCGAAAACCACCAATCACGGCCAACTAGTATGACCTTTTGAACTGCACGTGAAACAAACACCAGTGAGCATCACTTGTGATTGGCTCCTTTTCTTGCTCTCAGACATGCTGTCTAGTCATGTCTGATCCTGTCTGCTTGATTCAATAAAAATTATCGCTTTTTCCGTAATATATCGTTCATATCATCGCTTTGCTTTTTTTGTTTGTTTGTTTGTTTTGTTTTGTTTTTTGTTTTTTATTAATGCAATTTTATTTACAGGACAAACACTTGCACTACTTGCAGTACTAACATTATACTTACATTTACACTTACACTGTACCTGCTACTTACACTACTTATACTTACACTATTTATACATGCACTAGTTACAATACATATAAACTACAGTACAATCACACTAATTAAATTATGGTTGGCTTACTTACAATGCTCTTTTTATTATAAATAAATGGCTTAAACAAAAGTAAAAAAAGAACAATAATTATTTCAGTATTTGAAAACAGTAAAATTGAAGATTTGTCCTGGAAGAAAAAGCCAGTGTGTTGTTTAGTGACTAATCCATGTTGCGGTTTGGCAGTTACCCTTTGCGGTTTCATCTCGTATCTGATCGGTAGTGAAACAATAAACAAAAGGGCAGATCAAGGGCAAGTAAAAGGGGCAGATCCTTAAAAGATATACTCGTTTGAGCAAAACTTTTAAAGCAGCTATTACATGGGGATAGGAGTTGTGTAGGCCTGTCACCTGCAATGTTATCACTGGAGAGTGCATCAAAATCTTTGAAAGACACAAACTCGCATGCTCCAACTTGAAAGTACTTCTGAGCTTTGCAAGAAATGCCTTTGGCTGACTTGGCAGAGTCCTTCTTCCCTTTTCTTCCTACACACAGTTATTTCTTTCATTTTGTCTTTAAATTTGTTCCATTTTGACCTTCGAAAGCCATGTTGGCCTTTGACCTTGGTAAATACACTAACATGCATTCTGGTCTAAATTGGCAATGATTGGCCACACATTTTTTTGTTTGTTTGTTTGTTTGTTTGTTGTGGCAGCGATAGGCCATGACCATTTTTTTTTTTTTCTTTTCTTGTGGCAACTATAGGCTATGGACAATTTTGCTTTTAATTTCATTTACAATAACTTTTTCATTTTTCTAAATTAGTTTAAATTTATTTCGCCGCAAATTTTGGTTTCCTTTGAAATTACTTTCATTTTCAAAATCATTTTTTTATTTTGTTTCTTGACATCTTTTCTTTTGATTTAAATCAGTTTCTTGATTACGACAATTATCAGTTGAGTAAGGCATGAGGGAAGTTTGGTTACGAAGTTTTGGCCTTAAAATTATGGTGTTGTCAAGGGCAACTTTCCTCGTTTCCGTTGGTAACAATATCAACAGCCGTTGGTCGCCTGTCATGTCGCCTACAATTTCGTGCACTTTGCTGCCAATGATGTCAAAGGTCGACAAGTTGCCAATGGATACAGAGCCAGTTGCTCGTGACAACAACGCGATTTTTAAGTGAAAAGTTGGTGACCAAACCTTCGTCCTGCCTTACTCAACTGATAATCGTAGTATATACTTTTGATTTTAGTTTGAGATATTTTTGTGATAAAAAAAAGCAAAATGGCAGTAAAAGAAGCATAAAAAATACAACCAAAAAAGTAAATAGCACAACCATAAATTTACACTTGAAACTTGTTAAGACAGTGGGTTTTTGTTATGGCAGTCCTAGGCCACCACAGTAGTGCTCACATTAGATCCCAATGTAACTAAATACACTGTATGATCCTTTATCATTTAACTCTGCTCCCAGACAAATGCATCTTATAAATCAAAGTTTCAGGAAAAATTCAGTAAAGTTAAAGGAGTTCAGTCACTGTTTGCGCATATTGAAAAGTTTAACCTCAATTTTACAAATTCATTGTTTGTAATCTGTGTCAATCTTCTCCAGCCATGGCCATCCTTGTTCCTTGTGATTTATCATTATCTCTATGGCGTTTTTCTATCGTATTAATCTGTTATTTTCAGGTTTCCTACCATTTAAAGGTAATTTTGTATGTGGCCAAAATAACTCAAAATACCATGACTGAGCTCCTTTAAAGTGCTACTATGATTAAATTTTTACCCCTTGATTTTTTAGGTGTATCACATAGAATTCCTCAAAAGAATAAAAATGTCTTTTACTGATTGCAAATATCTGGATTAGTTTCAGAGATATCTAAGTTTGAAAAATGTGTAAAATATGCAAATGAAATGACTGATGATGTCATACACTCAATGCAGTATTATATATCAAGTATATAAATAGAGACAGCTTGGTTGATTTGCAGCAGAGAATATTGAAACTTGGTGGGCTAATAGTTCTACAGGCAACACAGCTACAGCCATAACAAATTCTGTTCCCGTGGCAACTCACTCTTTTCCAGTCGCTGCCCATTTGATTTCAATGTTTTAGTGATTTTCAGCTCAAAAAGCTTTAAACAGTGCCACAAACCTGACCTAAAATATATGTATTTATATGCTGGCTGGATCATACAGATGAGGTACCATTGGCAAATATCAAAATGGAATGCTAAAGGTGGCCAGAAAAGTTTAGTATCTTGCCATGGTAAGAAAACTGTTAAGCTCATATCGTGGAGCACATTTAGAAAAATCTAATGCAAAGAATCAAACATTTCTGATACAAATTGGCTGAGATATCTTTCTTCATCATATTTGATTGAAATTTGGTTGAGTTTATTATATCATCACTTGGCTACTTTCAATATTTAAAAACTTGAATATCTCTGGATTGAAAAGAGATATTCGAAAATAGTAAACAGCATTTTTCTTCTCGAACAGACTACTTGTCTATGTTATAAAATGGCTTAGATGGGAAAGATGCCATTTTCGTCATAATACCACATTAATTAAAGGGACGCTGTCACGATATATATATATTTGCTTAAAACTGTCATAAATTCACAAAATGGTCCCTAAATTTATGTAACAAGAACTTAATTAGCTCTAACTAAATGATTAAAAGCAATTTCGTGAAGAAAATCCACACTGCAGCAACATTTTTGCAAAATTTCAACAATTTTCAGGCCAAACTTGAACCTTTGAAAAACTGACATCCTGACACTTTTTCAAAAATCCATATCACAATCCGTTTCCATCCTTGCCATTGTTAGCCATCCTCACTTCCTAATGGGTTGCTGGTTCTAATCATTTGTTGAATATTGCTCTACAGAATAAAACCATTATTGTTCGGTTTCCAAAAATCGATATATGTTTTTGAGATTCCAAAATCATGCTAAAAATGGTGACAGTGTCCCTTTAATAATACAATTCTTGTTTTCAGGGGACTCAATATCAACACTGAACAGTTTGCAGTGTGGCTGTTGCTGATCATGCTTCAATTTTTTCCTTCCTGACAGATTAAGCTTATCAATCTGAGTTCCTGTAACCAAACTCTTGTGAACGGAAAACCAATAAGCCAAGTGGAAGTCCAGCATCTAGATGTTTTTACAATAAGTGATCGATCATTCAGATTTGAATTTTCCTCTCCAGTTCAGAAGCAAGCTAAAGAAAAGTTACCCAAGGTAGGCCATAGCCAATTTTTCTTTAGTTTTAACCACATTTGTCGCAAGTGGAGGTTACGTGCCCAGGGAAAACAAACTCAACACTTGCCCTTTAACTCCTGAGCCCCACAGTGTAAGATCAAGAACGAGATTGCTTTTAAAGAATGTAGAAATTATTCATTTTGATCAATTCTTGTGGGAGTTATCTTTTCTCAAGTAAGCCCTGGCATTCCTCAGCAGGTGGCAGATTTAATCAGCCGGTGTCAGGTTACAATACAGTTCTAAGGTACAAAATATTTTTTAATAATCTTTGGTCTTTAAGGTCATTCCCTAGTATTGCATTGCGCATCCCTCCTGCACATAATTTTACGTGTGATTAGCGCGCACATTAAAAAATGGCGGCTTTTTCTTCACGGCTGGACCTCGCCATAGAGGTAAATCATCATTTTCTCACAAATGAGCATGGTGACCTATCATTTTTTTTTTTCTGTTGTTTTGAATTGAGTAATAAATTTCTCTGTGTAAAATAAATATGGACAAATTCTCAGTGTAGAACAAAACAAAATCATCAGAAACGTGAATTTAGCAAACAATCGTGACTACAATCGTGGTGCTCTTATATCGATTTATTGGGTATAAACAAGGTGCTGTTGCTCCTAAACAAACATGGGGACCCCTCATTTTTATTTCAAAATTTAAGTTCCAATAATATAAACAATCAATAGGCAAAGTTTCACAAAAATCTCAGTGCAGGTTCTATTTCAGTGGAATGACCTTAACCTTTCCAGAAATATATACTTTGCCGTGGTTTGGAATTAAATCTTAGCTGTGAAAAAGGTTTGAAAAAATGGTGTGCTTTCATGTGTACCCCCCACCTTAACTAGAAAAAATAGTGAAACCACATGCTGAACAATTACATGCTCACAATTGATCATTTTTTAAGTTTCTGATCAAAGAAAAACAAATCCTCTTTTTCCAACATGGTTAATTATTGCAATCAGGAGCTCTGCTTTTAGGGTTGGCTAAATCTGCAAATTGACAGTAATGAGAAAATTTAGGAATCGAATCATGGAGACAATTCTAATTAAAAGGCCCCTCAACCTCAATAGGAGGTTTTGGTTGCTGTTGGTTTTTGTGGGTTCACTACTCATAAAAAAGCCGTTTACACCCCTGAATTCTCATTGATAAATAAACATACCAGACTAGTCTAAAAAGACACAACAGATAACGCTTAGAAATAGGATAATTAGCAATGAAGTTCATCTGCTCCTTAATTTCAGACTCGACACCGCCGTTCCAGCAGCACAGGAAACACACCACGAGAGAACAAAACCTCCAAAATGCCCACACCCAAAGGCAGCCCAAGAACTCCACCTACAGGAGGGAGTTTAAAAGAAAACATCCACAGGCTTCGCAGACACTCTATGCCTTTACAAGAAGAGGAAGAGGCTTTAGCATCCCCAGGGGCTGATAAAACACCGTTTTCTATTATTGCTGTAAATTGTGAAGCGCAAGAGAAAAATGGCAAAAGTGCAGAACTTGTCAGGGAAAAAAGAAAGTCTCTAGCAGGAGACCGCAAGCCCAAAAGGAGTTCTAAACGAGTCTCGTTTGGACCAGTTCTGAGCCCTGAACAATTTGACAAAGAATTGCCCCCAGCTACGCCAGTAAGACGTGGAGCTACACCAAGGAGAGCATCCAATGCTAGTAACCATTCCCTCATCCAGCTGTGTTCGTCTTCCAAGAAACGAAGATCAGTTACTGCTTCGCCACAGACGGAATCTATAACAGAAGAAGATGATAGCCCAGATTCCGCTAAGAATGAAACGCCAAAAACACAAGCGCAATGTTCCTCAAAACTGGAGTCATTAGAGCGAGGTCAAGGCAGCCATGAGGTTAATATCCATGAATTAAGTTCTCAACAGTATGGTAGTCCTAAAGGGCATGGACAATCCTTCCCACAGGTTGATAAAATGATTCTGGAGTTTACTGAAAAGGAAGACGTAATCCCGAAGAGTCCCACACCAGAAAAATGCACAAGCTCCTCAAATAAAGTGGAAAGAGAGATAACTGAATCTGTTGCAATGGAAGCCATCCTTAAAGACACGCCTGAAGTCCTTAAACAATTTCCATCAAACCAAGCTACCCCAAAGAGTGCGACACCCAAACATAGTAGACGATCCTCATCCAGATTGGCGGAAAAGAATTGTGTGTCCGCTAAGAAAGATAGTGTTTCTCAGGACTATACCACACCTAAGGAATGTGGACAATCGTCATCATCCCTGGAGGAGGAAAATGATGGAGATACTGGACCAAATCAAGCTGCCCTGGAAACAGACACGCCCCAGACGAGCAGACGATCGTCAATGAGGCTGGCAGGAAATAGTCCCAGTTTGCTTGAGTTCCGATCAGTTGATGAAGTACAGTCAAAAGTAACACCTCATTCTAAGACTGCTAGTCTGAGCCATACTGTCGAGCAAAACATGGATGAGACAATCTTAGATAGTGATGACTATACTTCTGATGAGGAAGATGTAGACAGAGAAATGGCAATTGGGAAAGACAAGCCAACCAGATTAGCAACTCCCCTCTGTAAAGAAATTCAAGAAGGAGTGAAATTGCAGAAGATTAAGAAAAAGATGGTTACCCCCTTAAAGAGAGAGATCGCAAACGGAATCAGACTTAGACAAACAAAGAGGACCATGGCAACACTTCTTAGAAAAGATGTTGAAGAGGGAATCAAGCTTCAGGAGACAAAGGAGAGAATGGCTACTCCCCTGAAGAAAGATATCTCAGAGGGGATCAGACTCCAAGGAACCAAAAAGAGGTTGGCCACACCCTTACAAAAAGAGATAATTGATGGAACAAAACTTCGACAAACAAAAAGGAAGATGGCCACACCTCTTAGAAAAGATATTGAAGAAGGAATCAAGCTTCAGGAGACAAAGAAAAAAATGGCTACTCCCTTGAAGAAAGAGATCTCAGAAGGGATCAGACTCCGAGAAACAAAAAAGAGGTTAGCCACATCCTTAAAGAGAGAAATTAATGACGGAACCAGCCTTCTACAGACAAAAAGGAAGATGGCCACACCCCTTAAAAAGGAAATAACAGAAGGAATCACTCTGCGAGGGATAAAAAAGAAATTAAAAACTCCGATCAGAAAGGAAATAGAGAATGGCGTTACTTTAAGGGTCACCAAAAAGAAACTGTCAACTGCAATACAAGAAGCCATTCAGGCCAAGCCAAAGTTGCGAAAGACCAAGAAAAGCATGAATTCGTTGCTTCAGAATGAAATCAAGTGGTGCCCAAAACTTAGAAAGACGAAGCAAACCATGCCATTGGAGGTACAAATTGAGATTATCAAAGGAAAACAGTTGAGGCCAACCAAAAAGAGTCTACCGACTCCACTGAAGAAAGAAATCAGAAGTGCAGTAACCTTGAGGCAAACCAAGAGACGCCTACCGACTCCACTGAAGGAGGAGATTAAACGAGGGGTACAGCTGCAGAAAGCAAAGAAGAGCCTACCGACCCCATTGAGGAGGCAGCTTGAAGAAGCAGTATCACTGAAGCAGACAGGACGGTCTTTAAAGAGGAAGAGCACTGAATCTAGCACAAACGATAATGAGCCAAAGAGGCTGAAACCTTCCCCTTCTATAGCAGTGAATGAAACAGATGAAGAATTAGACGTGGCTCCTGTAAGACGAGCGCTGAAGACTCCTCTCAGAAAGGCTATTGCCGCGGGTACCAGACTACGTACAACACGTCATCGCATGGCAACCCCCCTTCGAAAACAGATCCACTCAAAGCACATGCTGAGAGCTGTTCGCGGGAAATCGACTGTGATTACAGTTCCACAGAAAACCGTGACAAGAAAACCCACCTATGCAGAAATTGTCAAAAGACATAAAAAAACGGTGGCTGAAGAAAGGAGAGTATCTCGAGAATCTTCGTGTAAGCTCAGAAATATGGCGAAAGGATATTCGAAGGTAGGTTTTCATCCGTACGAGTAACAGTTCTAGACGAAGCAACGACGTCAAAAGTACCTTCAACAAAAGGCAAAACATACTGTATACCATAGTATTGTACAAACCCAAAGAAAACTAACTAAACGAACAAATACTGATCTACAGCAACAAAAAAATACTTTTATTTAATGCAAACAAAAATGCTGTTCTTGTGGTATCATACTTATCGCTATAAATCGACTTAGAGAACTAAAAGTACAGGTTTCAGCTTTCAGGAGTGACGACTTCATTACTTTCGGAATTCTTGTGAAAAGTAAACGGACTGGAAATTTTAATGAACACAAGGTCGGAACAAAACACCGAAAGTTTCTGCCATTTTCTTCAATGAAGTCAAGACACAAATGGAAAATACAAAATTCCCTAAAAGACGAAAAACTACATTGTCTTTTGAACGTTATAATACATGCTAGAGGCCTTTTTAACCTGCAGTGAGGTTTCCTTAGAAATGTGCAATAGTTTGAGATACAACTATACAAAAGCCATAAAAAGAACTAAACTTTAGTTAGCTTCTTTTTTGTACATGTCGAGGTGACATTGATTAATTTGATTTTGTAGGTCATTCCATCTGCCAAGATTACTGAAACGGCCGTTAAAAATCCAGGTATGGATTGGACAATGTAACCTTTAATTACATGTAACTAAGTTATTGCTTTCTCGTGAATATCGAATATCTCGTGAATATCGCGGCATTAACCCTTATGGTGAAAGGGCTTTTTCCGTGGCGGCACCAAGGCTCTGGAATAAACTACCCCTCCA